TATATATATATGTATATGTATATAAATATATATATAGCCATATAAATTTGTATATGTAAACATACGAATGGAAAAAGACAACAAACCCCTGGATGTAAATTCAACATCCCCAAAAGTGGGTAGTGATCGAAGCTAGTCAGAATGCAAACAAGTAAGCAAAAATTCAGAGATGTTGTGTTTCAAAAGATAAGGGTTAATTTGAGATAATGAATTGTTTATACAAATGAAAGAGAAGACATTATTACACTAATTCGAAATGTTTATAGCAATTGCTAAAAGGTAATACCTGCCGGTACACTGAAATAAGCGCAGCATATAATGGAGCTGTGTTTTATTTTGAAAACAGTTCTAAATAAATAACATTTGCCAAAGGTAATGAATGTTGTTTGTCTACAGAATTTCAAATAATTCAGTAGAACGAGAAATAGTGTCTAAGGTTGTTATTCAAGTTTGTGAAAATTAATTAAAGTTTGTCTTCAGTACATAGAAAAACACAGAACTAATAATAATAATAATAATGGAAAGGGCTTTTAAAGGGAAAAAGACATAGCTACTTTGCTATTATTTCAAGTATTATTTAGTTCAAAGGATAGTTACAGAAGAAAGTTACTAATTTTGTTATTGAATTTTATCTTACCTTGATATAAAATTTATAACAATATAAAACCATAATATTATTCATAATTTTATGGATCACTATAATTAATACAATTACAGATGTTATAAATGTGTTTCAGAAATATCAATTGGATATAGCAATTTTTACTTTCTAGTAAAAGCGAAAACTATATTTTCGACAAAAACAGTTGAATTTTTTATCTAAATAGCTAAATCTCAATTTCGGTTGATTAAAGACATATCGGAAAGTTCTTGCCGAAGCAACAAATTAAATACACAAATGCCTTGACAATTATAACAATTTCGACAAAAAAATTAATTTATTTCATACCAAAATACAATATTGTTTCTAGTATGTTAATGAATGCCGTTTTTATTTTTAACAAAACGTGAGAAGAAAGCTAATAAATTTTTTTCGCCGAGAAAAAGTCGCGTGGGTGCCACACGCGCGCTTTATCTGCCGCCTGCGGGAGCATGCGCGCCTCTGGTAGGGAATCCGATCAAAACAGGGTCGGAATCAAGGATTTTGTTGAAAGGACAATTTAAACAAAGGGCCAAATATGTAATACCTAGCTGTAAGTAGCATTTTGCCTTAAGGCAAGCTGCGAAACTCACCGATACGTATACATAATCAACTTAATTCAGAATTGAGATCCTGTTTTTTTTTTTAGGTGAAATGTTCAACCGCTTATTCCTAGAATAAAATTTTCGCTTTGACTGAAAAATAATCAATATGATTTTCAATTGATGTATTTCAAATATACTTACTATATCTGTAATTGTATAAATTAATTTAATTTGTTTAAGGAATTTAATCTATTTTATGTTCTGATAATGTATTTTATTCAAGGTGGATATCAACTGTAATCAGTAGCTACCATACATTCTGATTATAATCGTGTATTTTTGGTGAATTTTTATTATTCAACCGCTTATCGTAAGCCTATAATATTTTAGTATGTTATTTCAGACTATAGTCATACATAGTTTCATAAAAACATCAAACATTTATTTGTCTTCTTTATCATCTTTACGAAAAACTAGTCAGCACGATTCCCAACTGATATCTATCGGAAAGTTTTTAAATTTCCAAAACTGATTTAAAATTTTTGAAGAAAACGTCGACCAAAAATTTTGTTTTCACACAATAAAAAAATATGAAAAACTGGATGCGCATTGGGTACTAAGAAAAAAAAAATATGAGTGTGAGTAAAATTTGATTTAAGCACAAATAATAGATACATTATTAAATATAAAAAAAATATAATAAGTAATATATTAAGAAGTATATCAGTTAAAAACTGTAATAATGTAGCATGTACATTAATAAACATGTTGATTTTCAATACTAATCTTGAATCCCCGTTACACAGACTTTCTAGAATATTTGGGAGAATTTTGTATAAAATTTTGTATGTTAGTTAAAAGTAGCAAACCGATTTACTAAAAATATTAAAATTATCAATAATGTTCCATTCTAACCACGTCCAATGCAAACTATGATGCATCTAGAAAAATGTCAAAATTACAAAATTATTGCCTCAGGAAACAAATGTAATCATAGCAATCAATATACATATTGTGCCTCCATTTTCATTAGTTAACCAAACAAAAACGCCGTCGCAAAATTTACAGAAACTCCTAAAAGCATGAAAAATTAAAATTTATTCAAAAATAAGTCTATTTACTTTATGAAAAAAACACAATTGCACGTGGAGTTTCAATTAAGATCGCAGTTGAATTAAAACTGCTATTAATAAAATCGTGCACTCGATAAATGAATTCGTATACATAAGTTTTAATATTCAACATTTCTAATAAAATAAATTATTTTTAGTGAAATAATGACAAAAACTAAGAGCAGGAATTGAAGAATTGAATATGTGCTTAATATTTTCATATTATATACATTTTTTTAAATATATTTACTCTACTTCAACTTTAAACGCGTACCATGTGACAACAATATTTCCTAGATACCTAGATACCTAAAATGAACATTTCTAATTGAAATAAAATTTAATTAACAATGCATTTACTATAAATAGAATCGCGTTCAGAATCAAAATAGTTCCACCTCCATAATAAATTCTCGATTGATAATTACAAAATCGCCCACAAGTAAATCCATCAATTGCGGTTCGATATTATTGGAAGTGATCGATATATTCAAAACGAACAGCTTTCAGTTGTGCATGTGACATATATAATGTCTGAAACATGGATATGTTCGTACAGATACCTAAATTAATTTCAATATCTGACTATTATTTGTCAATATGTCACTAACATGGGTACAGTACAATTTCTTTGAATGAAATCAAATGGACGATTTATGTAAAGAACAGTTTTTGCATTGACCGGACGCCTACTGCAATAATAAAAATAACTCATAAAATTGATTCGAATAGAAACGAATTTAAATAAAGGTATACATAGAAGAAAATACTTTGACTGCTTGGTATGATAAATTACAAATAAAGTTTTAGTTTGAATAGTGACGAGCCAGCGGCAGTCCGAGCTACTTTTAAACTACTAGTATCAGTTTTAGCTGTTTCTAAGATGCGGCCGATAAAATCTAAAAGACGCAATTTTAAAGTCCAAAACATAGTTTTTTGTGAGAATAGTCAAATTAAAATACTTCATACTATTCATTCAATAAACGTGATTTTTCAACAAACTTTATAAAATTTGAACTTACAATAAGATACATTTTAACTATCGAAGTTCAAAACTTTATACTTATATATACGGCATCGGTCTTGAATATGAGATTAAATTATTTGATTTTTATGCAAAGATATTAAAAATTAGTTTTATTTAGAACTTACCGAAAAATAAGATCATGTTTTCGCCAGAAAATCCGATTTATTAATTTTATTTTTTTTCTGACAATATTGGAAAAAGTATTTGTATAGATGATTTCGTCAACGTCTTCGGCCAGTAGGTAAGTGCCAAAATTTTCGAGAACGTTTTCACGAAAAATTCTGAACCTATTTGAAAATTCAAAACCTGTTCCTTAGGTATCAGTTGAGAATCGCGCTGAATAGTTCTTAGAAAAGATCGGCCAGGCCAACATTATTAAAATTATTCAAAAAATTATTAAATTATTAAAAAAATATTAAAATTATTATTATTAAAAAAAAAACACGCATCGGAGTTGTTTTAAACCTATTCTGGGATAAGATTCGATTATTTGCTTAGGCACCACAATTTGTCAAATCTAAAAGCATCCTAAGCAAAAATTAAATTTGTCTTGTCTTACTTATAAGCAAAGAAAACTTGAACAAATAATATTTTTTTAAAAGATGATAAGATTACTAGTGTCAGTGAAAAGTATCATTTCCACGTTCGCGTGGCAGAAATAATTTTATATCTCATTTAATGACTAAGACTTCCGTATTTAGTACATTTGGCCTTCTGTGATAAAATACGCCGAAATATACAAAAAAGTTGTTTACAATCATACACAAACAAGTTTAAGGTCAGACACCAGATTAAAAAAGCAAATCAAAACGTTGCGATGAAAATGCGAATTTATCTGTTAAGTTCAGCAAGTAAACTAATGTTAAGTTTGTATCATTAGGTTTATACAAAACTCGAGTTTTAAAATCAATCTCGAGATTATCAAAGAATTTATTTTACAACCGGATATTTTGCGAACACGTAACGGACGTCGATTTATTTGTACAGATGTCAAAATATTTACAGGAAAAACGTGCTGAAGTTGAAGAAATCCAGAAAGATGCGAACCATGTCGGTTAAAATGGACCAGAATTATATACACGATTAGAGATAAAACGCATATAGACAAAAATTTGTGAAAAAGATCTCAAATTGATTTTTTTTTTTAAATTATTTTATATTAAACTAGGTCGAACTTATTCGGCATCCATAAAAGGTGAAACCAAATATTTTTATAATATAATCGGACTATTATTAGAAAATTGAAGATTGTTTCTGGCCTGTACTAAAAATTTTACATAGAAATTTTATATGGTTTTATTAATGTTAAATTCAAAATATCACAATGGTATTGGAAAGTATAAAACGTGTGTTAATTTGCACACATTTTCATTTGTCTCCAATTTTCAGATTTATATTGAAATATATATTGGTTTTAAATTATAACTTTATAGATTATTTAATTAAAAAGTTCGGACTTATTCAGTAACATCTGCATAAATACAGAAACCAAATAAAAATAGATAATTTTATGGAACATCCTAGCAAATCAAATATTTGACTATCGATAATTTATTAATGTCATCGTATCAAAATTAGTACCCCTCTTTATAATCTTTAATACTAATGAGTATGTTCAATGTCCTCCTCTCATAAATTTCTCAAGTCTAAAATTAGTTATAAAAATTTTTACTTACCTTGTCTGAATCTGTGGTGTTTCCACTTCCGAAAGAGGCCAACGAATTTCTATCCAAGTTTTCTGCACTTTCGTCCAAAGATGTACATTCTTCTAGATCCCTGAAATTAAATAAATATTGTATTATTAGTTTATTATTATTAAGTAAGTATTGTAATATTAGTTTATTGTTTGAATAATAATTGAATCTATTATATACTAATTCATTATTACCATTATTAAAACTAAATAAAAATTTAATATTGGGATGAAATTTTAAATCAAGTTGGTTAGTGATAACAAGGATCAAGATCACAGTACCAAAAAATGATTGTAATTAAATAAATATATTCGAATAAAATCATAATATTATATATAATATTAGAAGGTCTTTCAACAGGAAATACAATAAAATTAGTTTAATTTTTAACTGAAAAATGGAATTGATCACAAATTGTCCTAAGCATTTTTGTTAGTCTTCAATATTAAATATGTAAAAATATAATAAACTGCTGGAAGTAATTTAAAAATTCTAATAGTCATTTACAATTTGATAGGTTTGTTTCAATATTTGTTTCATTTAAACATTGCACGACTTGAATTTAAAATACTCAAAAAATATAATTAAATGATAATTACCAAGTAGTCAAGCTATAAAAATCTTCCTACTATTTTTTAATATGAAGTTGATCAATTACCTGCTACTTCTCTGACTAGCATTATGTTTTCCTTTTCCAGGAGATTTAGGAGGCATGTGCATTGGCAATGCACTGCTGAAGTAGGTCTCTTGAATGACTTCTCGGAGTCTTTTGACCCACATTTGTTTTGCTTCTAAGGAAGAAGCTTTTAAAATTATTCTGTAATCACTTAGGGGCGGTCGACCCGTCCAGACGGCGAATTTGCACTCGTCGCCTTCTATGTGTTCTGTTACGCCTAATTCTGAAGTCTGAAATAAAATAAATATATAATAAAATATGTCTGAATACATAATTTTATATGCAATAAAAATACACTAAAACATATAGAACCATTAGTTACTTTATCGAAACTAATACTTTATGACTAGTTGCTAATTTCAGTCGAAATATGGTGCATAGCAACCTATTGATCAACTAATTAAATTGTATCAAAATTATATGGTTATTTTATCTGAGGTATTAGGAAAGACTGCAAGTCTTGGCACTGATATAATTTAAACTACAAAAATTTGAATATCGTTTCTCCACAATACCTCTTAAAATCTTTCATAATATTTTTAGTAAACCAATATACGATATGATTGTTTTATAAATTATAATAGAGTATTACTACAATGAACTAAGTAGTATTCCTCCACATCTACTTACCATTAATTTATTCTTATAAATATATTTGGCTTTGCCATTATTGTCTTTAACTTCTTTGGCGAATAATAAATATAATTCAAACAAAAATATATGTCGATCTCGTCCTTTTCTTATCAAATGTTTTGGATCGACCACATGGAACCCATCCTGTAAAACTACATCTCCCAAAGAATCCACAGACACATCACATTGTTCCAAGAGAGATAAATGCATCGCATCATTAGCCTTCTTTGGGACGTTTAACATCACATCTAAGCCATCCTGGAAAAATTATACACAAATAAATGAATAAAACGTGTCAATTTGAAGAATATTTATCACTATTTTTTATCATATTTACCTTGATTTCTCCTTGTCCTTCTAAGCAACATGCCTGCAGATCTTTAAGCAGTAACTGATATTTGGTTATTCTTTGTACAGGTTTGATTAAATAAGCAGCCAATGGATGCTCAATCTTTGCTTTACGTTGCAAATCGTCGAAATATGTACCTCCATGTTGGACCAAGAGTGTATTGGATTCAGGCTTATTTTTGCAGTAGTGCACATACATATCGAACTTCGATGCCCTGAAAAAGGTAGGAATCATGTTAATTAATAAAACATTATATATATATATATATAAACTTATGAACTATTATATGTGTTATTATAATTTACCAAGTTACGAAACAATGTCCGACATCTTCTGGCATTGTTTCATATTTTTCCAATTCTTTCAAAAATATTGAATTATGGAACTGATAAATTTCTTCCATATTTCCAAAGAGTATATCTTCCTTTCCTTGTATTGCAGTCGGGACGTTACTTGGGTTCGTTCGCATTTCGTTCAGAAAACATTTTATGCAAATGTCTAAATCTTTAACATAGGTACGCTCCGTTTGCAAAAGTTCTGCCATTATAAACCTGAAACACAATCATAAACAGTTAATGTTAATATCATTGTTAATAATTCGAAATCTCTAAATGTGTTAGTATTACTTACTCCTTTCGTCTAGCGGATTTCCGTTTTTCTTCATTAACTTCTTTCATTTCCTTGGAAGATACTTCTTTCAATTTGGCCTCCAGTGATGGGTCTGAATGTCTATCACTATGACTAGATTTCGTTGTAGGTTCCGGCACCGGAACTTCCTCTTGTACCACCGCAGGAAGACCAAGAGTGCCTTCCAATTGTTGCCTATAAGCGTCCATACGAGCACTAAAATCTTTATACCTATAATAAATAAAAATCATATTTACATTTAAATAAAATTAGTTAAATAGAGGAATATTCGGTAGTAGATCTAATTACCTATTGTCAACGGCGGCAACCCATTGCTTAATAGAACTAGCATGAGCATGTCCTTTCTCTACCAAACTATCAGCCAACTGTATTAGCAACTTTACTCGTTCCCTCGTTTCTTTGGCAGTTCCTTTAAACTCCGTATGCTCCCTCAAAAGATCTTCAGTTTCTTCTCTGCTTCCTCCAATGCTGGCAGCCCTGGTTGCCAAATAATTCTCACCAGTTTCATGTATCCATTCTATAGCCTGCTTAGCAGATCTTTCAAACAGTACATATTGTTGGCATTGATCTAAACGTTTCTTCCTCTGAGTCCAATATTCTAAAACTTTATTTTCTTGTGACAACAACTTTTCTAAAATGCTTCTGACTCTTGCTTCGGAACTTCCGGTTCCTGGGTAACTGTAGAATTGGAGACTTCTGGTTGTGTATTTAAGGAAAGTTTCGGCTGTTCTTCTAGCCAGGGTACAAGCTTTTAGGAAAGCTTCTTTTTGCTCTTGATGCTTATTAATGAATTGAACTATTGTACTAGCTTTGTCATTTTGAGAGGAGTTGCCATTCGTGGTGCCTGCACACCAGTCTTCATCGCGTCTATATTCTCTTTCCAAACTATCCAGGACAGAGCATACCTGCAATAATAATATAAAATTTGTAACCGTTACAACATTAAGTTGAAATCGAAAATAAAGCAATGCATTGCATATGCTATTTCTTACTTGTTCGGCAGTTTTATAAAAATTCAAACTGGCCGTGACTAGTTTATGTCTTTCTTCAGCATATGTCACCAATTGTTGCCACCGTTTGGTGACTTCATCGGAAATCGTTTGAATAGTTGTCGGATCGTAATGGTTTGCAGCTACTAAGGAGTCTGCTCGGAATTTCACCTAGATAACAAAAGTTGTATAAATAACATACAGAACAACATAACAGAAGAACATAATTCGCAGCTAATTTAATCATATTTAGTTATTTTTAAATATTATTATTATGTCTATTTACTCACCTGGACGGCTGAAGTATGAGTTTTCTCAATGGCAACTTGGAACTGTTCATGTTCTTTCTTGAGCATTTCAGCATCAGTAAGATCGCTGGGAATGGTAAAACTAGCCATCAACATAGCTTCGCCATTTCTTATCCAACTTAGAACCTGGTTGGCGTCATTCTGATACTGGCAGAGTTGAACACATTGCTCGAGTCTCACGCGTTTCAATTCCGCTCGATCTTCTAGATCCAATTCGCTATCATGGAGAAACTCTAACAAAGCCTGAAATAAAGAGGTACCGATTTAGTCAATTCATCAGCAGCACGGTTTAAATCAACATGATGACTATGGAGGCGTGCTCCATATTGTAGAAATACCGGAATTGTCCAAATTATAGTCATAATAAATTTCATAAAATATTATTTATATTTCGTTTATTTTATATATGATTAATATCCACGACACTATGTGTTGTCATACTGATCATTAATAAAACGTTATTGGTATTTTCTTATTTATAATAGAAAAGAAAGGTTTCAAGAATTATACATTTTGGCAAGTTCGACTAGGGAGAAACAAAAACCGTGTCCGATCTGACACTTGAATTTCCTTTTGTTTTTCTCAGTGCTGTCACTATATGGGCCTATCTGTCCAGTAGACATGTGATGCGTGTTGACAAGCCGCGATGCGTGTTGGCAACCCGCTACATCACTCCGCCCTAATGAAAAAGATTGTTTCGCATCTCTGACTGCCATCTTGAACTTCATTGTAAATTTCTTTGGTTGAGATTGTGTGATAAATTTTATTTTGTTCGTGGCCGTGGCCGTTTTGAATGCCGTGTTGGCTTGTTGAGTTTGTTGATTGCTTACGTGGCCCTTCGCTGGTGAGTTAGCGGTTGAGTAGATGTGGCCCTTCGCTGGTGAGTTAGCGGCTGAGTATATTTGACACTTCGCTGATGAGTTAGCGGTTGAGTGTATGTGGCCCTTCGCTGGTGAGTTAGCGGTTGAGTGTATGTGGCCCTTCGCTGGTGAGTTAGCGGTTGAGTGTATGTGGCCCTTCGCTGGTGAGTTAGCGGTTGATTGTATGTGGCCCTTCGCTGATGAGTTAGCGGTTGAGTGTATGTGGCCCTTCGCTGGTGAGTTAGCGGTTGAGTATATGTGGCCCTTTTGAATGGCGGTTGCCGATGTTTGTTGGTGCTCCCTGTCCTCTGCCGTGGTGCTCATAATCGACTCATTTTCCAGGATAATGAGGGATTTATTGAGCACGTGTTGTTGTTGTTCTCGATGTGCGTGGTCGGAGTCTCAGTTGTAGGATTAGAATGTTCTTAGAGTTATGGCGGTTGTGAGCCATTTATATTAATTATATATTTTTTTAAAAATTCTTTTCTTAATAATTCATGAGACTTCAATTTTTTTTTTGTTACTTCTAAATGTGTCTTGATCTTCTTACCTTCTTTCCTTCTATATGCGTGCTATTAATTCACGTTTGCGGTCACCACTAAAGAAACTTGTGTTCTTTATACTACGTATATTGTTTATTATGACAATAGTAACAACACTATGTGTGATTATATTTATCATTTACACAACGTAGATATTATTTGAGTATTTATATAAAAAAGGTAAAAAAGTTAAGAATTATAATTTTGGCATTTCGAACATGGAGCAAACAAAAACTAGATCCGATCTGACACTTGAATTTCCTTTTGTTTTTCTCAGTGCTGTCACTATATGGGCCTATCTGTCCAGTAGACATGTGATGCGTGTTGACAAGCCGCGATGCGTGTTGGCAACCCGCTACATGACTATATAGGGATTCGCTTACCTCTACCCTGGTTTGTGCATTATACTGAGCATCAGACATCACCCTTGCTCCACTGGTTTCCAAGGCTTGTAGCAAATCCTGACCTTGCTGCAAAACCTGGTAGGTCGTGTTCTGCATTTGTTGAACTGATTCATTATGTAATCTCAAAAACTGTTCCGCTTTCTGAGAATCTCGAGATAATTCGCTGTGTTCTAATTCAACTCTCCACATCTCCAACTGTGATGAAACCTATAATAAGAAAATAATAATGAAATTATTTATTTACTATGATAATAAGCTTATAAACCTAAAATCTAGTCTTATATTACTGGATTTCATTGCCTGATAATTATCATTCAATATTTTAAATTCAATTTAAATGTTTTCAACCAAAGCAAGTTTCGACCAAATTGTGTTGAGATTTAGATATTTTTATTTTGATTCCGTCAATATTTTTTTGATTTTATTAACTATGGTGAATATCTTTTCTGTCATAATAAATATTTTGAGCTATGTTCCTGATGCATGGAGAAATTATGTATACACAATGAAATATTTATATAAAATAATTAAAATTTCAAAACATAAAAGTTAATTGTTTTTAAATGTACTATTGCGTTCAACACTTTGAAAACAAGAGAGGTTTTGTTCCACGCAACTATTGCGAATTTGCGCATATGAATTTTATTTCTTTCGCATGCATAAAATTTTCGAAAATGTATTCTAGAGGTGTGTTCTAAGAACTATTACGGGGATTGGAAACATTTCAATAAATTTACTCTATTAACGGATTAAGGGACGAAATTAGAAAAATTCCATCTCATCTAAGAAAAAAATACATTTATGGAGATTAAATTTCTCACAAAAAATTGATACCATTTTTTACATATAATAAAGCCGCCAATAGTAGTTTATTAAACAAACCTTTATTAAATTGTTATGATAAAAGATTAATATGATATATACGAGATTGACACGTTAATCGCCACGATAATATAAAAAAAATCACATGAGCCATGGTAACTGGTAGCTTCATTAGATAATTTAGTTGAAATCTATCAAAAAAAACTTAATGTATCAAAGAAAACATTTTTTTGCCAAAATTTATGGAAATACACTATTTTTTATTTTACATATATATGACATGCTCCAATATTAAAACTTTTCCTCGAGAAGACAAAAAACTTTCAGGTTGATATGAGCTTTCCATGGCTAATGTGGAACTTTTTAGCGTCAGACACTTATGACTGACATGGCGATTAATGTGTTGAATAAATTTTATTACATTTGTAAGTCATTTTAAGGTTTTTAACCCGTAGATTTTTAGAAAGAATGTAGACATAGTCTGTCGGATTAGAAATGCTGAACGCGTTTGAGATTCTGTTGTGTTTTCAAAATGAGCGCCGGTTTGCAAATAATTTTAAAATCAGAACCGTAATTGGTCAACCAGACATGATATTTACACTTATCATTACTATTATAAATATTTAAATAGAAATAATTTTATTGGTTATGGACAAAACAGTATACAACAGTAACTTGATGGATTTGACAATTTTTTTGGTACCTTTTCCACTTTGTTTTAGTTCTGAATACCATCGTTTATGCTAAATCAATTTTAATATTTAACTATAAAATACAAACAAATATATTTCTTATTTTAATTCTTGCAACATAAATTTACAGCTAGTAGAATCTACAAGTTAGTAGAATATTCAATTAATTACAGTTAAGTCAACACGATTATATAATTATTAAAAATTATAAATATGGAATAAACTCAGATACAACTATGTGCGGATGCAAAAAATTATAATTTGCATTATTAAAATATAAATTGTGTTATTTTATATTAGTTTTTTTTACAATATATGTTCATTATGTATTTAAATCAATTTTTTGCTACAGACTGCGTGTCGGATAATAATTTTTTAAATCTCACGCAAGTTCTTGCTACTATATCCGGACTAATTATTTATTAGTACTCTTAAAGATATAGATGTAGATATATATATATATATATCTTCTATATATATATATATATATATATATGTATATATATATAAACATTTATATGTATATATTTATTTATTAATGTTAAATAGTTCCACTCCACTTAATTTTATTGTTGATGTATTTCGATATAAAATATTCAATGGTGAAAATAACCTTGATTCAAAACATATTAAATGTTTTATTATTCTCTGACATGTGCAAGTTGCTTAATGATTTGCCGAATTAATTTACTTAGATCATATAAACAAAAGTGAAAAATTTTCGTTCGACTTTTATGACAAATAATTTAATTTTTAGAGTTTGAATAGAACACCGTCAATGTATATAAAAATATAAATTCGTATTAATTCAACAAACTGAAAAAATTATTCAGTATATATAGTATAAAATACAATAATGACAAAGTTCTAGATATGCTAAAGCTAATCAATCTTAATGAGCTTTTATATGTCTAAAAAGTATAGGAAGTTATAAAACGAAAGTTAACAGCATTTTCTGATATTTATTTAATGCCTCATAATGAGTGTATTTAAGTACCTAGTCACACATGCAGTTAATTATTATCACAACTGTAAAATTTAAAATACGCTTCCATTATATATACAAATACGTTTTTACACTATAAATATATTGAACAAAAAGTTGCGACTCATTTCTCCAGATTAATTACTCCAGCAAACATTATATTTATATTTTATAACCATGTCCAAGAATTTCAAAAACAATTAGTTTAATAAACAAGCGAGAAAAATTTTGTTTAATGGGTAATAGCGATTTCGCAAGTATTAAAATCGTTTCAATTAGTATTCAAATTCGAAACTCAATACGAATTTATGATCGTTATAAATAAAATTGATTTTTACTATGGCGTTTACTTTCTCGAACCAATAAATCATTTGAACATTAATGTATTTAGCTGATATTTACAATTTAATTACTTGTTGCTAAAACATGATACACGAACACACGGATAGAAATATATATACAGAGTGTCCCAGAACTCAACGGATAGTGTAGATCGTAAGTGTTTGAAAATTATGAGCGTTTAAGTGCAATCTAAGAGCTTTAGTGAAATTGTGACCATTTTTCAGTTATTGTGGTTAAATTTTAATAATTTTGTTCACTTTAACTTAAAATCTGTGACCGTCCATAACATTTCTTTTCAAACATTATTTTTTTTGTAAAAACTATGAATTTAAATGTGTTAAAATTGGTCGACTTTGAAAAGCTCTCTTGTGAAAAAAATGTACTAAAGTGGTTTTCAAGTTCCATCGAAAGTTTGCGCATTTAATCAATATTGGAAAATGGGAAATACTTTATAGTTTCATATTAAAAAACTTGAGTAAGAAAATAAAAGCCTAAAAATAACACGTCTTTTGCTAGTGCATTTTACTTAAATTATCAATAATTATAATGTTCATCATAATTGCAATTTAGAGTAAATACCAGTCAGATTTTAGCAAGTGTGTATTTTAAATAATGAATTTTGCCCATATTTCCAAAATGTAGAAATAATTATAAATGGAAAATGAAGTTAATAATTTCTAAGAAAATAAGATTTTAGATCAGAAAAATAAAATTATAAATATGTAAACAATTTTTTTTTGCATTTATTATAGCAATCTCTATAACATTTAACAAGCTAACATTTTTGACGAATATATCATGTTGCATGAAGGATAACTGACCATTGCCAGCTCCTCACAATATAATGTATTTAAAATATATTTTCTAGAAAATTCAATATTTAAGAAATTGGTCGACTTTGAAAGGCTCTCCTTTGAAAAAAAAAGTACTAAAGTGTGTTTGCAAGTTTCATCAAAAGTAGGCGCATTTAATCAGGATTGTGAACTACTTGGTCTATCGTGGCAAGTTTGCCTTTTCAGATTATTAATTAATTTATTAACTTATTATTATATTATAATATATTACTTATCAAGTCAATTCATTCAAATATTATATAAAAAGTCATTTACCATGGATGTAATGTTATAGTTAGAAGTAGGTCGTCAACAAGTGTCTGTTTTTAGCCACGTCTGTGCGCCTGTATGCAAAACGTTCACCGCCGAAGGGAATTCGAATTCGAATCCCGCATTCATTCCGATTTCAACGTTCGATCGATTTGTTTGATTTCAATTATTTATCAAAATATACGAATCGAATGGCTTTTGAACTGCCAACTCGGGATAAGCAATTCTACAGAAAATGAAAATATACTTACATACTTATATATTTAACTAGTTGTAAGTAGCATTTTGCCTTAAGGCAAGTTGCATGAACTTCCCGATAGGTATACATAATCAACTAAATCCATACCTTCAGCTATTTAGATAAAATGTTTAACTGTTATTTCCGAAATAACATTTTCGCTTTCAATTGCAATATTTATATAGTAGAGAGGAGTTAAAGGTCCGCACGTAAAAAGTTCCACCACCGTTATGTAAAAATGTACCCACAAAATGTATATTTCACACAGAAGCTGTATTCATTTTTTAGTGATTGTATTTCATAATCAGACTCATTATATAATGAGTCTGATTATGTTAAATCAAACAGAAATGTCTGCCAAAACAAGATTTATAAAAGTAGTAAGAATTGATGAAGCTCTTTGTTCATTATGTTTAAAAATACATATTTAATTTATGATTTTTAATTTTATTGTTCAACCTAATAATTAAACGGTATCTCTCTCGGTAACCCTCTTTTAAATTAAAAATAAAGGGGTAGATATTTTTGCCCTTTGGCTGTCTCTTTTTACACTTTTGGGGTAAACAAGACCAGGTAACAATTTTTTTAAAAAATAGCAGTAGAAACATATTTCTCCAATGGTGAATTAGCAGGGAGTTTTACTGAACATAGTCAAATAGTTGTTTGATTGATATGTGTTATTTGTTGCAACGTAATAGGTCTTTCACATTATAATTGCTTAAAGTCAAGTTGGACCTTAGTACCCCTTCAGTATCAGTTTCGTAAAGCCTGATAGAAAAGCAACGAAAGAAATTTTCAACATCAACAGAAAGACACATTTTTTCAAAGAAAGAAATTTTTTCTACCATCAATATTAAAACTTCTTTGCGTCCAGTATCAATTCTGCACGGTGAAGTCTGATTTGCACGGTAAGTGATTAATGAAAAAATAAAAAGAAAACTGTGCATATATAGACAAACAATGAAACGCAAATACTTTTTCATCATTTCTGCACACAAATCGAATTTAAAAAGGCAATTTCTTGT